CCTCATTTAGTGGATGCAGCCCTGCTCAGTTACGGTTGGAGAGGACTGCTGAGAAAGAAATCAAGTCCTTCAGCTAATGTGTAGGTGTAACTTTCCCTGGGACTTGGGTTTGGGCTTGGCCTCATGAGGCAGCAGTGCCTCATGTGAAGCAGACACCTGCTTGGCTGTCAGGAGGGAGATGTGTCACTGCCTTGCTGCCTGCTCTGGAGAATTGCTGCTGCTTATTGAGGGTGGGAGAAGATGTCTTCTGGGCCTGGTGTCACCAGTGACTCACAGGAGAGGACATCTTGTCACCCTCATTTTCTGTTTGGGTAAAGAACTCCAGAAGACCAGGACCTGTCTGCCCATTGTAGAGCTTCCCACACTCTTATTTTTGTGAGATTTGATTTGCCTTTGAGGTTTCCATCTTTCCAGGTTTGGATGAATAGATCAGTCAGTGCTGGAGCTCTAGGCAGGGAAGGGAGGACGTGAGCCATTTCCTCTGAGGCTGGGACAGGGCCTTGCTGATGGGTTTCCATAGCACATCTGGAGTTCTCAGGGCCATTCTGAGAGCCCACAGTCTTCCTCCTCTTCATCCTTGTGTGTAAATGAGCTATATAGCACATCCTTGGCTAGCATGGCTCTTCCAGTGTTGTCCAGAAAACACAACCACACACGCTTGGTCCTTCCCCAGGTAGTCCAGAAAGATCTTGTAAGCTTAACCTCCTGCTTCCAAGTCCATCAGATCAAATCCTTTGGTCTTGTATTATGACACAAGAATGGATAAAACCTTAATTTCTCTGGTGGAAGAAGGTCTCAAAGTGATGTTTGGTGTCCCTTCTGCAGATTGGAGAGGGTTGGGGAAGGTTCCTACCTGGGAAGGGAAGGAACAGAGCCAGAGGGGTTGGGGCTTCTGCATCCATTTTTATAACAGTTTCTGATGTTCTTACAGCATTATGTAATACTTTGAGGAGAAAGAAGCTAGAAAGTTTACCCTACTAAGATATTTAGAGTAATCTTATGGTTGGGGTTTTGTTGGGGGTTTTTTAAGGTGTATTTTGAATTATTAAAATAATTAAGCCTTTGGTTTTCCCTATTAAAATTGGAGTGGTTTTTCTGGAGAAGGTCTAGGGAGGTACTTGGAGTGCTGTGCAAAAATTCTGCATAATGGGAAGATCTGGCAGCAGCACAAGTTGGGTGTGTGAAAACCTCCACTGCAGAAAAACCTCAAAATTGCCTTTTACACAATAGCCGTTTTCTGGTCTGACCAGGAGTAACATCAAAATTGAGGAACCATTTGGCACACCCCACAACTTGATCTGGGGATCTCCTGAGTGCAGATGTGAGACCCTTGTTATGCCGGGGGATATCTCAGAGGTTTTGGGGGGCCTGAGAGCTCTGCCAGCAGTATTCCTGTTATTTTTCCTGTGGCCCACCCATGAATGCTGTACATTGAATATTGAAACTTTTACTTAAAATTGAACATGAATCCCATCCAGAATCCACTGATATCTTCAGGACACTTGGAACTTGTGCTGCTGCCAGGGTTGATCTGCATCTCTACCAGCACAGCCCACTTCACCCATACTTATCTTCACTGAGAGCAGCCACGTAGGTGATCACTGTGTTTCCATTTATGGCTTCTGCACTGGGGAAATTTATCTCCTTTTTCTGCAAATAGGATTTTCAAACTTGCACTGAAGCAGCAGAAAATATTAACTCTTGGGCTGGCAAAGGCAGCAGGATTAATTAGTTCATGCCTCAAAGAGCTCACTGCAAAGGTGAAAATTGCAGTGTAAGTGAAACATACGATTATTGCTAATTAAAATGCAAATGTTAGATTTGACAGCTAGTTTCCAAAGGAGGGCTGCTGGCAATGTGCATGAGCCTGGCTGTTCCTGAGAAGGTGCAGAGCTTGGCCAGAAGGATTGGCATAGGTTGGAGCAGCTTCTGGAATCAGTCTCTGGAGGAATGGAGTTTTCCCTCCCAGTCCCAAAGTGTGGCTCAGAGGTCCCATCTACTGCTGGTGAGTGTGGACCAGAAATGGTAGGTGGAGGAGCTCAAATAAGATCTCTGAGCAAGTCTTGAAGGACTGTTTGGGGAACTGAGAGAGACTGGGAGACCCTTGGTGTTTGAAGGACACGGCAGACTAATGGAGAATTGTGTCAGCAGGAGGCAAAGGGCAGAGATCTTTGTGCCATTACCAGTGTTTCTTCAGTGTTTGTCAGCTTTGGCAGCCAGTTCTGTTCCTGCAGCATGGTGGGTTTGTTTAGCAGGAGCTGTGTGTGGGATGGAGGAAGAGCAGTTCCACATGTCACCAGTGCCATGCCATGGCTTTCTGCTGGACTCCAGCTGCCTCTGGAGTCTGGGAATGGGTTTTTGTTGTCTTTCAATGATGCTGGTGAAGGGTTTTGCTGCTTGGGTGTTTTTTTAAAGAACAGTCATCACCTGCATGCTCTCACCCACTCCGTGAGCATCACCCATGAGATTGGTGTGAGCAGCCCAGTTCCCACAGAAAGTCTGCAGACAGAGGGTCCATTTTAGCATGAAGGAGCTTTACTGAAGGACACAAAGCCATCAGAAGTGTGTGGGACTGTTTTTGGGGGTTGTATTTTCATTCTGGAGATTTCAGTCCCTTTCAGTAAGGTACCAGTAAAAAGTTGTTAATCTATGGCAATTAGTCAGAAGTTTGGGGGAAATACTGAGCTTGGCTGTGCTGGTGAGTTTGAACATGAGTGTATTCAGGCAGTTCTCAATTGGCACTGTTAGCATCTTCAGCAGACATTTCAACAGTTTTTAATGCAGCAATTTTATTTAAAAAACAATTTGGTTTTCAGTATTAGTGTCAGTGCTTGATAAAGGTGAGGAAGGTAAACAGGTGAAAGCCCCAGGCCATGAGTTAGAGCCAGGAGACAAGCTGGTTTATTAAAATCACCTCTGATTGTGATCTAATTGATAACTTTGTGCTGTATCCAGTGGCTTTTCTTGGTGAGCATTGATGTATGGTGATACCAATATTCTCGTTTCTCACAACAGCTGCGTTTCTGGAATTTGCAACATCTTGGATTGTCTGCAGAAAACCACTCCTAAAAGATAGGTCTGCTGAATATTAATGAACAGTTTTTATTTTCAGTGTGTCTTTCAAAACAAAAGGTGCATGTGCTGACCTGCAGCATTTGGCACAGAAATCTTGTGTGTGTATGTGAACAAGATGTTCAGTGTGTAGCATACAATTAATCCTTCAAACATCAAGCATGAGGTTGGTGCATTTCTCCCAACCACCTTTTCAGCTGGTGCACATATTTCCCATGTCAAAGGAGGTATTTCTCACTTCTCAAGAGCCTACAAGGTTGGCTCTTCTCCAGGCCTTCCTGAAGTGACCTGCCTGACATCCACCACGTTTTTTATCCCTTCATGCCAATTGAACAACTCATTTTGTGCCATTTGGTATTTCTTAGCCATTGGGAGATTTGGGTGAGGGTATGGTAAGAAGGGAAGAAGAAGATGCCTTAACTGTCAGTGGAAATAACCACATTCCAATTTCATTTATCTTCAACTTGAAAACCGGATAATTGCCTCTAAGTCAATACCACAATGTATTTGAACTTGCTTGAAACTTACAAGGTTGTAGGGTGCAGAATCTCCAGCTGGAGTGATGCAGAAACCAGCACTGGAGTGTTTTGCTTCCAATTTCCTGTGTTGGATGAACACTTCCATGTTTCGTGTGCATCCAGGTCCATGCTGGACCACCAGGTAGCATCACCCTGGGTAGTTCAGGTTCTGCTGTGCAGTTGTCTGCCTGCCTCATCCAAATCAGGTGGCAGTGGTGGAGCTGGGACCTGGTCTGTGCCCTGGACTTGGCAGTTGTGTTCAGAGGCAGTTTGAGTGGTGAATCCTTTTGGCTTTGAAGGCTGAGGTGGCCCTGCCGTTGCCTTAGCCCGTGGCAGTGTCTGCAGGACCTCATGTAGCCCCATGAGAACATCTGAGACATGAGAAACCCGCTTGAAGCTCTCAGCTTTCACACCAGTCCTAATACACAGTCTTCCCTTTGTATTTCCCAGATTTCAGAGTACTTGGAAGAGGTGAATATTCTGCACTTGGTGGTATCATGGGGTTTTAATAATTTTAGGTCACTTCAGAAGTCTTTCCCAAGTCTCTGAGCAAAGCTTTTGGAGCAATTGCCATGACAATATCCACCTTTCTCCCTAGAGACCTTGTGGGGTGTTTGGGTAGAGCTGGTCAGGTGAGTTATTCTGGTTTTCAGATGAGTCATTATGCCTTGAGGGCTGAACAAGAAGCCTGCAGTTTACTTGACAGCACAACAAGCAGAGAATAAAGGAGAACATCAGGCACAGCTCCTTAAGAGACAAAAATAGTTATTTGTGTAATGAGTCTCCTGGTGAACTGCAAGAGTCCTCAGCCATGTGAATAACTGGACTCCAACAGTGGGAAAACTGACTGAGAAGTTTATTTGGGCCTGGGAGGGAAATGGAATGGAATGGAATGGAATGGAATGGAATGGAATGGAATGGAATGGAATGGAATGGAATGGAATGGAATGGAATGGAACGGAATGGAATGTTTCAGCTGGGAGGTACCAACCATTATCCAGTCCAACTGCATGCTCAATTCAGGGCTGACCAGAAGTTAAAGGGTGTTATTAAGGACATTGTCCAAATGCCCTTCAGCAGCTTTACAGGATGTGGGGTTGGTGAATATGCATAGTTAATACTCATGAAGATAGAGAAGGTAAGTGTTATTTTTCCCCATGCATACACTGGAGCACCAAGGCCAGATCTTATCCTCACCAGAGATTCCCACAGTGTCATCCCTTTGCAGTCTGTAAATAGAACAAGTTAAAGGAGTCCGAGGAAGCCCCACAATCAGGATGCTGGTCACGAGCATGGTTTTGTAGGTGCAGGCACGAATGGCCTGGGAGCTGGAGCTCCGTCAGGTCGGTGGTTTTGGAGTGTGTGGGATGGAGTGGCCCTTGACTAAAGCAACCTGTTTGTTGTTTTCAGGAAGAGTGGGATCACAGCAGCAGTGGGAGCACAGGATCCCGGCCGGGGTCGAGCTCCAGGCAGGGCTCTGGATCCAGGTCTGGCAGCCACAGGAGAAGCAGCCAGTTCAGGCATTCAGCCAAGGTACACCTGGTGGAGGTGCTGGAGCTGTGTCCCCTGCTTGCTGCTTCTTGGAGGCATCCCCCTCACGGCCTGTTTGTGGTGTGTGTCACACAAAGTGTGGGTGCATGTCAGCTGGGAAGGGCACTGCAGAGACCTGTTTAATTCACTCATGGTGTGTGACCCACTGAGGTGTGCTGGTTGCCTTAGCTTTGGGAAAGAAGTCCCTAGTCAGTTGGCTAAGTGCAAAGGAAATCAGAGATTTTTTCTGTATTTGAAGTCCTGGAGTATTTCAGTTTTGAGAAATCAAGAGATGTCTGTAATTATTTGCTGTCAGGTCTTCATTAGAAGTTGAAGGATGAGTGGGCAGCACACTGATGGTGTTAAATGGTGACCTTAAGTCCAGCTGCTTTCTGTGTGAGCTGTCTGCAGGGCTGTATGGGAAGTTACCTTCCTACCCTGCAAAAGACTTTAAGAATTAACTTTTTATATGGGTGTAGGTCCATTTACACCTTGAACTGAGGCAAGGGACCATTCCTGTTAGTTTCAGTCACCCTGAAAACCTGTCTTCTCTTGGAGTCGCTGTCCTTTATGCACACAGGAGAACAAGTTGTGCCAGAAGTGGGTGGCAGACTCTGAGGTTTGGAACCAGTGGTCAAAGTCCTGGTCCATTCATCCATTTCATCCTCCTGAAGATCTTGAGGAAATAGCTTTTCTTCTGTGTCATGCTGTGGTGGGAGAGGACCCACAGAACCAGGTTGTATCTGGAAAGTGATGGTCCTTTCTGGTGGGAATGAGACTCAACATATCCTCACCTCTTTGAGCAGGGATAATACTCTCTTCCTCAAAATTTCTATATTTTTGTCTGTATTTTTCACATGACAACTTGCAGTTTTCAACAAGGAAGCTCTGAATTGGAGCCTTTTCAGACAGTTCAGTATCTATCTCATCTTTTTTTATTTTCTACCAAAGTGCAGCCAGGGGTTGTAGGCAGCTGAGAAGGAGGAAAAGTGGGGGAAGCTCCTCAAGCTCAGAACTGAAAAATGCTTAATACATGGCACAGGATGATCCCTGAATTTATAGCAGGGACCCAGACAGCAACTTGGTGTTGTTCTGTGTGCAGTGATGATTTAACCTGGTTGCAGTTGTGCAGCAAAGGGCATGATTTCCTATTTGTTTTCTGGAGGATGGTAATGAGGAGCAGCGAGAGGTGGGACGCTGAGCCGGGCTTTCTAAAGCTGCTGTGTGCATGCAAATGCTGACTTTGTGGGGAATTTGCTGAAGCTGCATGCATGGTAAACAGCCAGAGTCCACGTGGGCCCATCCCTGTTTGTGTGGGCAGCTCCAGGGGCTGGGCAGCAGAGGATGGAGGTCATGTGTGCTCACAGGGGCAGGAGGACAGAGGTTATGGACGTGCATTTAAACCAGATTGTGTGCAGGATCTGATTTACTGGATGTCTCATCTCTCAAATACTGGTGTTACTTGTGAAAGCGTCTCTCTCAATTATCATTCCGAGTGAATTAATTAATTTTCAGCTGTACTAACTCCTTCTCAGTGAAAAAGATTATCTAAAGCATAGGGTTGGGTCACTGGGAGCTTCATGTTAAAATTGCTGATGGTTATAATTGCAGTCCTGGGGGGACTGACAGCAAGTCACTGCTTTTCTTAAATACATGCCATTTTTAATCTTTTTTTATACCTGGATTTGAGAATTGGCTTTTTGAAGTCTTATTATTAAGTCTTGGCATTGTGCTGTGAGCATTTTAGTAAGCTCCCTGCAGCCCAGGGCTGCAAGGCTGCTCCCTGTCCTGTGAGCTGACACAGAGACTGGTTCTAAAGACAGGTCATAGAGGACCAGAAGGGTGTCTTGAAATGGCCACAGTGACTCAAGACTTAATGATGAGGTGTGCTATCACTAGGCCCTTTTTGGCACCATTTTGTGGAGTCTGGCTGATGCTTGGAGTGTCTCCAAGAGGTTATGGGACATCTTCTAGGAGGACCAGGTCTGGGCGAGAGTGTCCAACTGCTGCCTCGGACCTGCCTGACCTCCTCACCACCTGAAATGGATTTGTCTCTTCTTTGTGTATAAGCTGTGATAACATGCACATGTGTGCTTCCATCACACTGCATTTGGATGCTTATAAGGATTTAAGAAACTAATTCCTCTCCTTAGTGGGAGAAAATCGTGCTTACAATTGCCTAAAATAAAAAGCTCATCTTCTTCTGTAACTTATCACGGGAGTTATGTATTTCTGGTAATTTGTTTCTGAGCAGAGACATGTCAACTTGCAGATCCCCAGGGGTTAAAATTATAATCCATAAACCCCTTGGAGGAGACTAAAAAGGGAGCAGTGTGTCTGTGTTTGGAGTTTCTGGTGTTTAAATTGGTTGTGCTGGAAATGACTGCAGAATGTAACCATCTGTTCACTAAGGACATGTGTCCTGACATTGGTTGGGAAAGTGTTGCTCAATTTGTGAGCAGATTGAGCTCTGGGACTTCATTAAGAAATGGTCACATTTTTTTATGAGTTTATAATGTCTTGGTTAATATTAATAATACTTAAAAATGACAGAAGGTTTATGACGGGGAGAGATGGAATCCACATTCTCTAGCATGTATTTTGCCAGAGTGGGACCATTTGGACTGAGTTGCTTAAATAGTCTGAATATGTGCAAGATTATGAGTAATCTGAACAAAAAAATGTTGAGGGGAAAATTGGTTAATATGGACTCCTAATTTGCAATGCATTCAATTCGTCCAGACTGAGTCAAGTCTGATTTCTTGAATGGTCTTGAATAGCAAAATCCAACATGCTTTACTTCACCTGTAAAGGGCGGAGGGGGCAGCCCAGGGAGGGCATGTGAGGGTTGATGACTGTGAAGGGGCTTTGAGTAACATATGTGAGGTCTTTGCTTTAGATGCTCGTGCTTTGGGTTGTCCATTTTGACAAAAGCAGCTGCCTGAACAGAAAATGCAAGGTGTTTCAGAGCTGGCGGGAGATTTCTTACGATGCTCATGGGGAAGGGCTCTGGGGGTGCTGGGGCCAGGGGCTGGACACGAGCCCAGGGTGCCCAGGGGGGCAGGAGGCCAATGGGCCTGTGCTGTCCCAGCCAGGCTGTGACACAGCCCCAGGGCAGGGCCTGTCCCTGTGCTGGCACTGCTGAGGCAGCTCCAGTGCTGGGGACAGCTCTGGGCCCTCAGCACAAGAGAGACACCGAGGGGCTGGAGCGTGTCCAGGGCAGGGAA